ATTTAGTCAATAAATCTCCCACCCTAACTTTATACCTCTCCTACCTGCAAAGCCCCAAATATTTCTTTCAAGACACAAACCAGTGCCTGAGCTCCTTACCAAGCCATATGCCGTGCTGCGCTCATGCTCCTGTGTGATGTCGGCAACGTAGGCAAAAATCACGGAAAAGGTGACAGCAAACACTCCAGACATGGAAATGACAGCAAAGTACCACCTGAAAGAGGAAGTGCCCAAGGCAGAGTTAGAGAGCAACCACACCAGAGTCCACAGCTGCTGAAGCAGAGCCTCTCCCTCATTCTTCAGTCCATCCTGCTCTAGTGCACCAGAACACTCTAGTACACTCAGGAATATGGAGCCTCAGTCTGGGGTCCCTGGAGTTTTATCACTTATTTTCCCTAAATGCACTGATCAGAGGAATAAGGACCAGGAGAGGACAGACAGACCCTCTACTCCCAACTGAACCCTCCCGCAGAACCAGACAAGTCAGTCTATAGGCTGAGCATCCTCCTCCACCAGACAGACTCTTCCATCTCATTGTAAAACAAGCATCTGCCATTGTTTGGCCTTGTGCTTCTTCCCCTCCTCAAATCGCTGGGGCTGTACCGAGGGTGAACTCACCACGGGCTGATCTTCATCAGGGGAATTGGTGCACAGGTGAAGAAGACGGTGAGGAGGAGGAAGGATTTCCTGCCCCAGACATCAGAGAGAGCACCAATCAGCGGAGCACTTAGGAAAGAGAGTAGACCCTGGGACAGACAGACAGATGGAAGGGGAGAGAGAAACCCCTCAGACTCTGTCTGCTGACAGTGAGAGCTTTAGACAGGAGGAGGCAGCCCATTCCTGATTGCTGCAAGCAGCAATGCAGTCACAACAGAGCAGCTTGTTAAACTGCTCACATCCTTTCAGAGAGGGAAAAATAAATCCTTGACCAGCAAGGCCCTGCTGAGCACTCCCACTCCCTCCTGCTCTCTGCACAGCTCTGCCCATGGCTGTGGGTGCCTGGGCAGCCCTGCCAGGACCTGGAAAGCTGCTGGTACAGCTCCACCACAGCAGCACTTACTGCAACCCTGGGGAAAGCTTTCTCTTGTAGGTGGAGACAGGACAGACACAATGCAAAGCCAGGACCATTAAGCACAAATAAAATTGTGCTTAATGCCTTTCCACATCTCTCAGACCTGAGGCAGGTAAGGCAGAGCCCTTCAGTGCCAAGGGGAGCACCCAGCCTCTCTGGGGCTATTTTCCAAGATCCTCTTGCCAAAGACTGACAAGAACAGTCTGTTTTGCCCGATTCTCCAGTCAGAACACACGACTACGGCCTGTTGCCTATCGTTGCCTCCAATCCTGCTCTGGGAATGCTGGTCTAGTGCAAGCTCACCATTCCCTCTCCCTGTGCCATGGCACAGTCCCATCTCCTGTCTGAGGGAGCTGCTGAGGCTGCTGGACTTCTATTACTGATAAGTTCAGATGTCACTGATTTGTCATTCTGTTACGCTCCAGAAGATGAGTACAAGGGCTGATCTCATGATGATGAGAATATTTCCAGCTGAAACACTCAGCTGTTGTAGCTCCAGCTCCACACTGACAAGCAGCACATTGTCATTACCACTCAGCAAAATCAGCTGCACAAGCTGCCCCATGTCGAGGTACTTCCTTTTGCATCAGGTTTGCCAGAGCCCCCAAACTGAAATATGAACATTGAGCTGACAAATATTGGTCAATATCAGCAAATTACATCGATAATAATGGCTTGTCCCTTCTTGCAGTGATGGCAGATTTAAAGGAAAGCCTGGAAGGAACATTCCTTACCTTGACTCCGTGAATCAGGCCATTCATCAGGAAGGTGTGCTGAGGAAAAGTCTGGTGTAACACCTGGGGGAAAAGAAATCAAAACCAAAAGGAAAAAGTCAGAGCTGGCAACTGTTGCAAAATTTCCTTCAGCACCTGACAGCCAAGAGGCCTGGAAGGGCACAATCCAGGGAAAAGGGGAAATACCCTCAAATGATGCCTCTTTGGGAGGAGTTCAGGCTACCCTCTCCAGCACAGGCAGCCACTGTCTTTAACACTTATCAGATCTATAAATTGTTCCAGCACACTTGGGTGAGGCTAAGAGAGCCTGATATGTGCCTTTATCCATCTGTACCCCACCTGAGTATCCTCTGGTTTTACTTCACGTCACCACCTCACCTCTCTGTGGTTCTCTTTGTGCCGTCTGTATGTTTGATTCACATTTTATATTGCCAGGCTAATACTGTGTCTAAATGGCTCTGCACAACCAAAGAATCCTTTTCCACAGTTCCCCTTGGAAAGGCATGTGCTGAGACTTCAGGAGCCCAAGGAGAGCTCCCAAGGCAGTGCTGTCCCAAGGAGATGTGCTTACCGTCAGCATCGGTGTGGTCAGCAGCCCCCAGGCAAAGAACTCCAGGAAAATCACCACCACAGCGTGGTACACGCTGGGGTCCCCAATCCCCTGTCGCTGCAAAACAGAGCACCTTAAGTCAAAAACTTTTCAGCGGCCACGTCCTCCCCGGACGGAGCATCTCAGAGAGCTCCCACAGCCGGGAGGGGTCTGAGAGCGAGAGACACAGTTCTGCTGAAATGTTGTTTCTGTTCACAGACCCCCCCCCAACCCACCTCCCGCAGCAGCTCAGGCTGCTCGAACCCACCTCCAGCACCACGGCGGGGGATTCCCAGCCCGCACCGGGGACGCGGCACAACGCCCCCCGCCCCGGCATCACCGAGCCTGGGAAAGCCCCCAGGCCCACCGGGGCCGGACCTCGACTCGGGCACCCGGAGGGGCGGCAACACGAGGGTTCCCTCACCCCGGGCCCCTCCGCCCCCCAGCCCCGCGCTCACGCCGGCCCCGTCCCGGATCACGATCTTCTTGGCCAGCAGGACGCTGCGGTTGAGCCGCTTTTTCTTCTTCTTCTCGCCGGTCATGGCGCCGCCGGGCCGCAGCCGATCGCCGGCCGCCGCGGCTGCCCCATCCTCCCTGCGGCGGGCCGGGCCGAGCCCGGGCCCGGAGCCGGAACCGGAGCCGGACCGGCACCGGCACCGGGCGGGGAGCGCCGGGCCCGGGGCTGCGGGCGAGGGGGCGGGTCCGTCCGCAGGCCCCGCCTCCGGCCCGGCCACCAGCACTTCCGGGGCGCCGATTCTCGCGCTCCATTGGCTGTTCCGCCTCTTCCCGATCGGCCGCCCTGGACTGTGATTGGATGAGGGGGGGGGGGAGCGGACCTTTCCCGCTGGCTTGGGCGAGGCCGTGACGTCACGAGCGGTCCCGGTCCCGGTCCCTCACGGGGACATCGGGGCATCGTCAGTGCCCCGGTGCTCGAGGGCGCCTTCGGGAGGCCGGCGGGGCTCCCGCACACTCGCGGAGCGCCGGAGGCTGCGATCCAGCCTTTGCCCATCGAGGTTTTCCTTTAACCAAGGATTAAAAGCAGCTGGGGCAAAGCCCTTGAGGTGGAGGGAACTCCAGAGCCTGAGCCTGGCTGCAAGTGAGATGAGAGTAATCCCCCGACTTCCTTCCCGGGCCTTGTGCGGGAGCGGCTCCGTCTCCCCAGGGCTGCTGTGCTGTCCCCAGGCCACGGAGTGCCCGCGGTCCCCGGACTGCTCTGCACTTGGCATCGGGTAAAACGCCTGTAACCTCCATAGGCACACGGTGCCTTCCCTCGGCTTGACCCCCAGCTCCCGGGAATGTGCACCCAGAGCACCAGGGCTGGGCAGGGAGTCCCCCCTGGGCCCTGCTGGAGCCGCTGCGAGAGCACGGTGGAGCCTGACTTGTTCCAATGCTCTGCAGCGCTTTAAAACCAAGGAGAGAACGGAGAGCAGGGAAGCTGTTCCCAACACGGCAACAGCAGATGCAATTCTATTACTTTGATTTATTGATCCCACTTAGAGCAATTACTGGCTATCACACCACACCATATCCCCCCTTCCGGCGTCACCTTCCAGGGAGCAGGAGACAGTGAGGAGGAGAGACAAAGACGACCGCATCACCCAGCCGGCCAAGGAAGCTCCTCGGGAAGTTGGAGCCAAGCGCGTCAACTCTGGGGGAACCTGTGATGTTGCAGGAATTGAGCCCCGACATTACGACCACTTTGGCAATGGAGGGGATGCAGGGCTGGGGAAAAGTGAAGATCCCCAGGGCTCTGGCACAGCAAAGCTGCTGTGGGTCCACTCTGGGTCCTCTCGCACTTCTAGGCCCAGCCAACCTCGGGTCCTTTAAACTGCTTGAAAAATGCCGCAGCCCCAGGGCAGGAGGAAGGATGAGTGGCTCCACTGAGATCAGAAAGTCCCTTTAAGGGTTTTGGGGTTTTTTCTCTGCTTGCTGCAGTTACAGACAGAAAAACAAGAAAATGATTGTGCTTTTTGCTACCTGAGCCCTCCAGACAGATATAAACAAACAGGAGCCAGTTCTGGCTTTGGAGACAGATGAAATCAGAGTGAATGAGACCAGTGGGCTGGGAGGCACAGAAATAGGACAGCCTAGTTGTGCAGTGAAGCCTGGCCAAACCCCTCCTCCCCCCCACCCCAGCCCTGGGCTCTTGCAGCGCTTTTCGGGAATGCAGAGGTGGAAAGAGCAGAAAACGCCCCCTCTGTAGATGAAGGCAGCGCCGGGCGCTGCTTACCCCTTTCCCTCCAGCTAATGCATAGCGCAAGTGCACAACAGCCTGTGCTCGGCCGCGGGCAACGGACAGCGGGTTTGGAGCAGGATGGAGGGCAGAGCGTGGGTGCCTCCGGCCCCACGGGTCGTGTTTGCGGGGCCAGCTCAGTCGTGGGGTGGGGTTGTGGGCCTGGGGGATGCTCGGGTGGGCGGGGATGCTGGGAGGGACGGGGGATGCTCTGGCGGCCGCGGGTCCAGCCTGGCGGGGGGAGCCGGGGGCGGGGGATGCGGGGCCGGGCGGGCGGCGGAGCGCTCACACCATGACATCAGCGCGGCGCGGCCCCGGGGGAGCGGGCGGGGGGCGGGAGGCGGCGCGGCGGCGGAGCGGAGCGGAGCGGCGGAGCGGAGCGGCGCGCGGCCCCGGGCATGCTCCCGGAGCCCAAGTATGACCGCTTCCGCGACGAGCCGCTGACCACCCCCATGCCGTCGCCGGCCCCCGGGCCTTGCCCCGCGGCGGGCGAGGAGCCTGAGCACGGCACCACCTTCTGCGCGCTGCTGCCGCGGATGCCGCAGTGGAAGTTCCCCGGATCCGGCGGCTTCCTCGGCCGCGGCCCCACCGGCGCCGCCCGAGACCCCCCCGCCGCTGCGGGGCCCCCCTCGGGGCTGGCCGCCGTCCTGGGCGCCTGCGAGCCGCTCTGCGCCGCGCCCTGTGCGCTGCCGGCCGGCGGGCGGACTCGGGGGGCGGCGGGGAGGGCTCGGGGGGCGGCGGCGTCGGCGGGGGCCCGGCACGGCGCGGACGAATGGAGTCGCAAGGGCAGCTTCATCCGCAAACCGGCACAGGGCTGGCTGCACCCCGACGAGCGGGTGCTGGGGCCCGGCGTCTCCTACATCGTCCGGGTAAGTCCCGCCGGAGCCCGGCGGCGCGGGAGAGCGCGGAGACCCCGGCCTCGCGGGTCCGGCCACTCCTCCTGACGGCTGCGGGCAGAGCCCCCGATCGAGTCCTACCCACGGCTGCCCCGGGGCAGCCGCCCCTGACACACGCAGGTCCCGGGATGGGGCTGGGGGCCCGGGGCTTCCTGAGCCGAGCAACCTGCCTCGGGACCCCGCCACAGTCAGCCCCCAGAGGCATCACAAGCTGTAGCACACAGATGAGTTTGTGGGGTCTGGGCATGTGATGGGGCATTTTGGGGTGGTGGGTGAAAGGCTGCTCTGCGAGCCCTGGAGCTGGTGTGGAAGGAGCCCTTCTCGCTGACACCCAGCCTCTCTCCTCTCCACTGCCTGCCCTGGGCTGCTCTGACCATGTACCCCCCACAGTACATGGGGTGCATTGAAGTGCTGCGTTCCATGAGGTCCCTCGACTTTAACACCCGGACACAGGTCACCAGGTACGGCCCCACAGTCCCACTCTCCCACCCCTCAGTGCCACCCAAAGCCCCCAGTGGCCCTGGGTGCTCCCCCTCCCCAGCACCCTGTGGAGAGATGGACGTGGGTCCAGGGGAGCCCTGCCCCACAGGACCCGCCCTGCACACGGGGACACAGACGAAGGGCACTGCCGTAGATCAGTGGGTGGAAAGAGGAGAAGGGAGGTGGCCCCTGCCTGGATTACGTAGTGCAGGCCGTGACGTGGGGCAGCACTGTGAGGAAGCTGCGACACCTGAGGCTGTGGGGGCTCAAGCCTCCAGACCCCACAGAGCCATGCGTCAGGGGGGAGGCAGCTGGGAAGAGCCAAGGGTCTGGAGCAGTGACCAGGCTGGGGACTTTCCCTTGCAGGGAAGCCATCAACAGACTGTATGAGGCAGTGCCAGGTGTGAAGGGCATCTGGAAGAAGAAGGTCAGTTTCCACTCAGCTTGTCCCTCCCTGGGGCAAGCTGAGGCTGCGGTACAAGGCACTGAGGGTGCCTGCCCAGTGTGTGGGTCTGGGGTTTTTTGGGGCACCCCTCTTTTTCTTGTTCACCTCAGGAAGCCTGGTCCTGATAGGCTGCATCACCCCAACCGTCTTCTCCCCTGTCAGGCTCCTAACAAAGCCCTGTTCTCCATCCTGGGCAAGAGCAACCTGCGCTTTGCTGGCATGAGCATTGCTGTCAACATCTCCGTTGATGGGCTGAACCTCATGATCCCCACCACACGCCAGGTGACAGTGTTCCTGGGCACATGGTCCTACTGCCTCCTATCCTGTGAGCTGGGGGCTGGTGGCTCCTGTACTAATGCCCCCCCGGGCCATGTCCCCCACACAGATCATCGCTAACCACCACATGCAGTCCATCTCCTTCGCCTCCGGTGGGGACATGGTGAGGCACGCACACCTCGGCCTTCCCCTGGCTACACTCCCACAGGGCGGTGGGGACAGGGGCTGCCTGTCCTATGGCTGAGCCAAGCACAGGGCGGCCTGGCTGTGGGTCAGGATGTGGGGCTGGGGCCGAGCTGTCCCCTCGCCCCAGCACCCCCAGCCCCACTCCCCATGCAGCAGCAGGACATGGGCCCTGAGCTCCCCCTGTGCCCCCAGGACACCATGGACTATGTCGCCTATGTTGCCAAGGACCCCATCAACCAGAGAGGTGACTCTGGCCCCCACACCCAGGAGCTTTGTGGAGGAGGAGGGATGCATTGGGGGGGGAAGATTGTAGAAGGAGATCCCTTGTGGGGAGCACAGAGCGGGGCTCAAGAGGGCCCAGAGGGGCAATAGGAGTGTGGGGGAAGCACTCAAACCTGTCTGTCCACAGCCTGCCACATCCTGGAGTGCTGTGAGGGGCTGGCACAGAGCGTCATCAGCACAGTGGGACAGGCCTTTGAGCTGCGCTTCAAGCAGTACCTGCACAGCCCCCCCAAGGTGGTGGTACCCCCAGACAGGTATGGGAGATGAGGGGCCCTGCTGCAGCCCCTGTCCTGGGTACATCCCCTGGCTGGAGGTGGCTCTGAGAGCCCCTGTCACTGCTGAATGTGGGGAGGGTCTGAAACAGGCAGAGCATCTCCAGCTCACCGTCCCTGCTGCAGGGCACTGGGCGCAGAGGAGTCGGCCTGGGGGGAAGACGAGGAGGTGGCTGAGCACAACTACTACAACAGCATCCCAGGGAAGGAGCCCCCACCAGGGGGGCTGATTGACTCCCGGTTCCATCATGGCACAGTCCTGGGTCACATCCGCACTCAGCCCTCCAGCTCTGTCCCCTCCAACCAGGTGAGCTCCCAGGGCCACTGCTGGCCCTGACGTGGGGGTCCCAGGCAGAGTCTCCCCAACACCCTCACTGTCTCCTTTCCCAGGGCGGGTTTGCAGCCAGGCGAGACCCTAACAGCCAGCCGGGGCCACCCTGGGACCTGGAGAGCCAGGGTGGGTACTTCTGGGGGGAAAAGGCATAAGCTGGGGTGGGGGGCCCATGGCTCTGCCCAGTCCCTGCCAGCAGTGATGCCCATCCTCCCAGGCCAGCCCTGCGACGGGTACCTGCAGGCGGATGGCCATCCCCTGGGGCCACGGGACTACGAGGAGCACATGTACGTGAACACGCAGAGCCTGGACGCCTGGGAACCGGAGGCAGCAGCTCACGGAGTGACAGAGGAGAGCCCCAAAAAGGACCTCTTTGACATGAGTAAGCCACTACACCGTGGAGGCTGATGCTGGAGGCTGAGCTGTACTGTCAGCTGCCCAGCCCACCTGCCACAGCCCCAGAGGTGCCAGCACTGGCTGAGTCCAGAGAAGTGCCCTGCAGAGCACTGTGGGGTTGTGAGCCAGGGCCTGTCCTCACCACACCCCAGCCCTGCCTTGTGCCCCAGGGGTGACACCCTGCACCCCCTGGCTCCTGCAGGGCCTTTTGAGGATGCCCTAAAACTCCATGAGTGCATTGCAGGGGGTGGCACCAGCCCCCCCATCGAAGACCAGTGGCCAAGCCCCCCCACACGGAAGGCCCCCATTGCCCCCACGGAGGAGCAGCTCCGGCAGGAGCCCTGGTACCACGGAAAGATGAGCCGACGGGATGCTGAGAGGCTCCTGCAGATGGACGGGGACTTCCTGGTGCGGGACAGCCTCACCAACCCGGGGCAGTACGTCCTGACCGGCATGCACAGCGGGCAGCCCAAGCATCTTCTGCTGGTGGATCCCGAGGGAGTGGTGAGGGCAGGGCCTGTGGGTGAGGGCAGGGTGGGTGATTGGGACCGGGGTAGGGGCAGGGCATGGGGTGGGTGGTGTGGAACATGGGCGGCAGGTGTGGTCAGGCACAGGGGTTGCAAGGGGATGCTGAGTGCAAGGCAGGTCTCCTGAGTTCAGGACCTCTGTACCTCGACCCCAGGTAAGGACCAAGGATGTGCTGTTTGAGAGCATCAGCCACCTCATCAGCCACCACCGGCAGAATGAGCAGCCCATTGTGGCAGCAGAGAGCGAGCTGCACCTCCGCCAGGTTGTACAGAGAAAGCAGTGACGCCAGCGGATACGTCCCTGATCTGCTCCCCTGGCATTGGACTCACCTAAGCCCTGGGGCAAAGCTGCAGTCCCTCTGTGCTCCCCTCCTCTGGTTGTGCCTGGCCTCTGCAGTCTGGGATCAGGCTTCCCATCTTCCTCCCCAGCGGGGTCTTGCAGTCCCTGGCCCTGTAAGTCCCCCCTGGCTGCTGCCTACCTCCATCGTCCGCACGTGTGCTCCATCATTTCACATGTGCTGGTGAAAGACTGTCAGGATGGGAACTGGTGGGCAGCTTTAGCAGGAGTGAAGCCCAAACCCATCTTTGACAGGGCTGCTCCTGCTTGTCCCAGCACTGGGACGAGGGCTGGTGGGCATTACTGTAGCCTCTGGTTTGGCTCTGCCCATGGGGCTAGGCACAAACATCCCCTAGAAGCAGGGCTGAGCTGCTGGCACTGCCATGGAGAGCTGGGGCTGCTGGGGACCAGAGGTATCCCATGGCCCGTGGAGACCCCCTGGCCAGCTCGGGGCTTTGGAAGGTTTTTATGTCACGTACAGCCCCTTCCCCCCTGTACCTGGCGCTCAGTGCAAGTTCGTGGTTTGGAATACATTTGTAATTAAACCTGAAAATGAGCAAGGCACCCAAGTGGTTTGTGCCACCCCTGGGCATGGTGCTGGGACAGGTCTCCATCTCCACCAGTGCCTGCCTGGTCTCGCCTTGGCTGACCTGTCCTGTCCAGTCACATCTGTCTCTGCCCCCCTGGGTCACCCTGTCCCCCGTGGATTACCCAGTGTGCCCCTGGCTTCGGAGTGGGCTTTGGCACCTCTTTGGTCCTGCACTGCATTCTCCTCCTTGCATCTGGCAGCTTCCTGCCCTACTGATTCCCCTCCTGCCTCCACCCAGGGCAGCACGTGGCCGCCTACCTCTAGGCCTCCTGCCATGGCCAGGCCAGCTCCAAGCAGCACAGAGCCAAGCTGTCCCTCAGTAGTTAATGTGGTACAAAGTGGAGCAAGAGTCCTGGGTGGCCCTCACTGCAGTTCCTGTGCTCCAGGGGGGCAGCAGCCACCTGGTGGGCCCAGCAGCTGATGTCCTGTCCTGGCTCTGCCCTGTGTGCCTGGTGCTGCCACGAGCACCCACCTCAGGGAGCAGGGTCACCCCAGTACCCTCAGCCCCTTGCTAAGGGGACAGCCCTCACCAGACAAGGCAGCCAGGCTGGCCAGTTTTGGTTGAGCCAATGAATAAAATAAGCCCCTAAATAAAGCCCAGTAATGGATGCGTAATTTTCCATTGATAGTTCAATTCCACAAGGATGTGGTGCTTCTATCTCAGCTACTATTTTTTGTCATATAGTGATGCATCTGCAAAGATAATTGCACCTTTCCCTCAATAGAAGGGCAGGAAAAGGCAATGAGGGCCCCAGCTCTCTTCTTTTGCTGCTGGAGAACAAGCCCATGTGGTTCTCTGGCTGCCGCTGGCACTGCCTGGCCCAGCAGACCGACCTGGGGATGCTGCCCTGAAGGAATGAAGGGCTAGGAGGAGGTTTGTTTCAGGGTTTAGCCACTTTGGTTGAGGGTAGTGTGTGGTGCTCAAGGCCACAGGTGGCTCTGTGACCCCCACAGCTGGGTTGTAGGGCTGCTGCTTCTTCAGCCTGTGTAATGATGGGGAGGCTGAGCTGTTTTGGGAAGGTTTAGAAGCTACAGAAGAATGGCTGCAGAGGGATGTGGCCTCCTTGCTCTCCCAGGGCCTTGGGGATCTCAACAACCAACCGTCTTTCCACTTGTCTCAAATGTGCCAGCAACAGACACTCCTCGGTTTGGTTTTCCAGGGTATCCTGGCACAAGCTCCTTCCCATAGAACGACTCTCTCCTTCCCAGCTTCCAGCAGGTGGTAGCACACTGCCAGCTCCACTAGCTACGTGGCACATCCCAGCACCTGCCACCCTGCTCCCCTCTGTGCCCTGCAGGCACTAGCCTCGAGTCGCGAGGGCAGAGCTCGCCCAGCTCCAGCGCTCTTTGTTATCTCGAGGGAACTCAACCATTTCTGCACCTTGTTTACCCACCGGTTTGCAGGGTGGAGGAAAAGCAAACATAGACCTTTTGTTCACCAGCCACCCTTCCGTGAGCCTCCTCCTGCGGAGTCCATCTGCCCTCTCCCCCCCCCAACAGGACTTGGCTCAGCACCCTGCAAGTGCAGAGCCCAGGGTCTAGCCAGGATACCACGGTCCCCCTTACCCGCTGCTGTCCCTGAAACATCCCAGCCCTCGATCCGGCTGGGCTCGGCTGGATGCTTCCTTTTACCAGCTCCAAGTGGGAATGCAGAGGGAGCTGAAACCTCCCGCAGCAGCCCCTGCGGAAAGCGCTCATCGCTCCAGGCTCTCCTTCCTGGCCATCATTCCCAGCCCTGCACCGCTGTGGAATGATGGTGCTTCCCGGCGGCCTGATGGCATCCAGAGTGGAGGAACAGCTGCTGACCCCTTCCGTACCACTGTCCCGCTCGGTGCATCCCTATCCCCAAGGCTGTAAATCCCCGCGGGACTGGGGCCGATCAGCTGCTTGAGTCTCCCATTTGCGCTTCAGCATCGGGACTTGCAGTGATGCTCCGTGGATCCTCCTGAAGTCTTGCCCCAGCGTCCCCAGCTACCACCGCATTCCACTAGGGGCTGGTGGGCTCTGTGACACAGGGGGTTGTGACATGTGGCTCCTCCAGCGCGATATTAAGCCACTCAATGCTCTCGGCAATCCCTCAGCCCCGAGCCGCTGCTGGTTTCGTTCAGTGCTTTGAGCCCAAGAGCTCGGAGCGGGAAACGGTTGCTCCCAGAGGAGAACGACGGCCTCGGCCCCGGTCCCGGACGCTCTCCGGACCGAGGGCACCGTGGGGGAGCACCGAGCTGCCGCCGTCCCGATTCCGCTCCCGGTCCCATTCCAACCCCGACACTCCCATGGGCGGACGGCCAGGTGTGCCGGGGTCGGGGGACATCAGCATCCCGGGGCTCGGTCCCGGTCCCGGGCTCTGTCCAGCCAGGAGCGGCGGCGAAAATGTGGAGGCGCCGCACTCGGAGGATTACGGCGGCGGCGCGGACGGGGAGCGGAGCCGCCGCTGCCGCTGCCGCCGTATAAAAGCGCGTCCGCGCCCGCCCCGCCCGGGCTGCGGTGGTGGCGGCGGCTCCGCTCCAGGTGCGGCGGTTCGCGGCAACGTCTCGCTCGCGACGGCGCCCGTCGGTCGGTCGGTCAGTCGGTCGGTCCGTCCAGGCGTCGCGTCGCTTCGCGTCTGCCCCGTCCTATCGGATCGTTCGGCGCCGCCGGGTCCCCGTTCCCCGGGTCTCTGACCCCTGCTCTGAGCGGCCGGTTTCTTCCCACTCCTTCCCGGGTTGGCGGGTTTCCCTGTTCCTCGACGAGGTCAGTTACTTCCCGTCCTTGTCCCGTCCCCCCGGGCTGCCGGGTCCAGGTCTCTCGCCACCGCTGCTCGCTGCCGGGACTGCCGGCTCCATCCTACCCCTGCCGGTACCCGGCCCCCGGTGACAGCGTTGCCCCTCGAGTCTCTTGCAGCCCCACACCCGGCAGCAAGATGTGGCTCCTGGAGCGGCTGCGGGGGGTGGCGGAGAATGGTGGATCTCGGGGAGCGGGGCCAGAGGAATCCCCGCGGGGGTCCCGCTACAGCAACGTCCTCACCCCCGACAAGATCCCCGACTTCTTCATCCCGCCCAAGCTGAGCGCGGCGCCCGCTGAGGCCGAGGGCTCCGAACTCCCCGCAGCGGCTGCCCTGGGCCCTTCAGTCTCAGAGCAGGACCTGGCCGGGCGCAAGCCCCCGCGCAGTCCTCGCCCGTCCAGCCGGTCCCGGTCCCGGTCCCGGGCCGCCGGCCGGCACATCATCCAGATAGAGACCGCCGAGGACTGGACGGCCGAGGGGAGCTGCGGCACAAACGTAGACCCGCAGGCACAGACGGCCATGTCTCTGCCCTATGTGCCCAAGGCACAGACCTCCTATGGCTTTGCCACGCTGATGGAGAGCCCCCACACGAGGCGCAAAGAGTCACTCTTCCACAGCGAGCACAGCAGCCTCTGCCCCTCGCCCGTCACTTCGCCCAGTGCCCAGCGCAGAGCCAAGCTCAACGGCGAGAGCAGCCCCCGGGCACCTGCTGACCTGGGCGCAGCCCTCATGCACCCTGGCCGCTACTTCAGCGGCGGTGAGAGCGACACGTGCTCCTCAGCCGAATCCTCGCCCTTTGGCTCCCCACTGCTCTCCCGCTCTGTCTCCCTGCTGAAGCTTTTCAGCCAGGAGAGCCAGTCCAAGGTCATCAAGCTGAAGCACTCGGTGGCCCGCAACAGCTCACTGTCCACCGACGACAGCTCGGCCGACACCAGCCCCAGTGCTCAGCGTCGTGCCAGGAGTGCCCCGGCTGGGGCGCAGCCACCCACAGCCCTGCTTCCCCTGGACGTGCCACCGGGCCGTGACCGGGAGCACAGCCTGCGGCTGAGCCAGGGTGGGAGCCTGCGCCTGGCTGCTGAGTATGACCCCTCCAATGCCCGGCTGCGCGTGCGCCTTGTCTCTGCCGAGGACCTCTACGATGCCCTCATCGACCTGCGCAGCATCAACTGCTGCGTCTCCCTGTGCCTCAACCCTGGGAAGCTGCAGAAGCAGCGCAGCACCATTGTCAAGAACAGCCGCAACCCCATCTTCAACGAGGACTTCTTCTTCGATGGGCTGGGCCCTGGCCATGCCAGGAAGATGTCCCTGAAGCTCAAGGTGGTCAACAAGGGCAGCAGCCTTAAGCGGGACACGCTGCTGGGGGAGAAGGAGCTGCCTCTCACCGCCCTCCTGTCCTGCCTGTAGGTGCCTGCTGCCAGCCCTGGAGGGAGCCCATCCACCTGTGCGGCTGGGGTGAGGGGGGTAGGTTTTCTCTGTCCCCCAACTCTGCTAGAGGAGGGTTTGGAAGGGCCCCCTGAGGAGGGACAGGGCTGTGGTAGAGCACGGGGATCCCCAGAATCAATGCTGCTGTGGGGCTCTGCCAGCACCAGCCCTCCTGTGAAAGGGCAGGCAGGGTTGGCAGCCACAGCCTCTACCCCAGCTCCCTCCCTGCTCCTGCCTGGGGCTGCATGTCCTGGAGCCCAGCAGGAAGTGGGGAGCCTCTAGTCCAGTCCCCACCAGGAACAATGGAAACACCTGGTGGCCTCCTTTCTCCCTGTGCCTGTGGTCTCCACCTGGCTGCCATGTAAGCTGGACTTGGGTAGATCTCTGTAGCACACTTATTGCCACCTCCCAGAGCTCCAGCTCCTGGAGTCAGGTGACAGCATCGATCTCAGCTTTAATTTAAAAGACAAGTTTCTAGTCTTGGAATCTGAAAAGAAAATACTGCAGAGGTGACCTGAGAATGGGCCCAAGGCGGTCACCCTGGGGGAAAAGTCAGGTTTGTGGCTTTTGAGCCTTTCCTGGAATCTTCCTAGCCCTGCAGGACTGCAGAGATGCACAAGTCAGCTTGGTCTGACACCTGCATCCTCCTGGGCCACCCTCACTGCCCATTCCAGCATTGTCCACCACCTGGATAACTAGCCTGAGACAGTGGGAGCGGGGAGGATGCCAGCTGGGGCATTTTTGTGGGTAGATAAAATCCGCCGTGTTGTTGTTTGGTGTGGTGTCACCCATTGTGTCGGGCTCTGCATGTTTCTGTGCAGGGAGCAGGATTCACAGCGCTCCCGTCCCCACCTGTTGCAACATGCATGGACACACATGCACACACGTGTCCCTCTGTGTTAACCTTTGTTTGGGCAGTCGATGTTCCTTCCTTGTCCTTTGCAGCAGATGGCAGATCTCAGTGTTGGCTATTTATATCTGAGGCTGATCTTTTGCAGTGTTTTACTTTTGTCTGTAAATACGTTTCAGGTATGCGAGGCATGGTTCTGATCGTGCTGTGTTTGCATGTCAGGGGAATTTGGGATTTTGGGTGATTGTGGCTGTTTGTTGAGTTTGTGGCTGAAAACAAACCATGCAGGACATAAGGAGCAGACATGTCCTTTCTTCACAGGGAGTTTCTCACCTGAGCCTTCCCAACACTCCTCAAGATGATCCTTGACCCCCAGGTACCCAGGCTCATCCTGGGGGTAGATGGGGACTCTGAGGAAGGTGGGACAGGGAGATAGGCCACATCCCTGGGTGCAGGGTGAACATCCTGCCCCTGAGGTGATCTGGGGCAGGAAGGGAATCCTGCCCAGCTGGCTGCTGCCTGACAGCCCCCTGCACACCCCACCAGTAGCTTGTGCTTCATGGGGTGCTGTGCCTGTGAGGGGTTGGGGGGACCTGGGTGCTGCTGGGGAGGGTGGACCCAGCAGGCTGAGAGGGGAGGGGGAGTGAGAACTGGGCAAAAATTCTGGTGCTCTGAGAGGTTTAAGGGGTGACACATCCCCCACAGAAGAGTTGTGTACCTTTGGGTTTGGGGAAGGGGGATGCTGAGAGCAGAGCCCTGGGATGCTCCTTGGGTTGGGGCTGGCCCTGGAAGGACACTCAAGGATCTGGGGGCTGTTGTCCTGCCCCACCCCATCTTATGCCAAGGCTGTCTCTCCGGAGTCAGGTGTGTGGCCATGCAATGAGCCCTGGGATGTGTTGCTGTGAGCCCTGCTCTGTGCTGGGCTGGCAGTATGGGAGCCAGTGAATCTGAAAAATCTGATAAAAGAACTCCCCAGAAATCTTTTAGGCCTTGCTCTTGTTTCACCAGGGCTGTTCCCTGGATGGGTCTCTCCTCTGCTGGAGCTATTTTCTATTGTTCCTGCTTTGATAATTTTGTGTCTGAATTTAATGATGCATTTTTGGAGTGAAAAATATATTAATACCTGAATGGAATGTTTCTTTACAGATAATTTCCTCTTTTTAGTGCAATAAAGTCATTTCTAAAGCAGATATAGGTGTGGCCCTGACTTGTGCTTTTCCCAAGGTATTCCCCGTTATCATCCCTGCGGACTCCCACCCTGGTATGGTGGAGGAGGGGAGTAGAGCTGGGACCTCAGCAATGTCCAGACACGGGGTAGCACTGCTCTTCTGGGTGCAGCTCCCCTTTCCAAACAGCCTTACAAAGGCACAAGGTGCTTTTGAAGCTCTTCCCTGGTGCTGCTGACCAGTCATGGAGTGAGGTGGGAGTGAATCTCCTGGGGAGAAGTAGATACATGGGGAAGGGTGCTGTTCCTGCTTGGGAGGCAGACTCAGGACTGTCCTGAGCCAGGGCAGTCCCCTTGGGGCTCTGGTGAGGAAGAGCCCACGAGCCCACACACTGTGGGTATCCTTACTCCTCCACACCTGCTTCCCCAGCCTGGTCCCTGCAGCATTTCTCGGCACTGCTCCTGATGAAGAAGATGATGATGGTTTTTGCTCGCTGTCAGCAGTGTGGGCTGGAGCTCTGCCCTCGTGGGGGACTTTGAGCTCCAGGAGACCCTCAGAGGGCTCTTTGGCACACAGCCAAACTCTGAGACTGTGGCAGTGCAGCAGCAGTTCCTGCTACTCTCTGAGCTTCCCAGCCTTTTCCCCTCAAAGCCAGCAACTCTTGCCTGGCAGCGTTTGGGCATGAAATACAACCCTGCGATGTCTGCCGCGCTGAGCCCTGTCTGCAGTGCTGCGGGACAGGTCAGCCCTGAGTGACAGCTGTCACAATGAACCACTCCCAGGGCACCCCCGGCCCAGCTATCAGCATTCAGGTTACTCTCTTTTCTCCCCCAAAGGAGAGAAATTTGTCACTTCCAAATCTGCTTTTAGCCAGATGCCACTGAAGAAAATAGGAATGTTTGTCTGTTACCTAAATGCCATTTTTCTAATTTCTACTATTCTGATCATTTGACATTTTTGGTAGCTATAGAGGCTGGGTGGGAACAGATCTGCTCTCTCTCCTCTGGCCCCCACAGAGGTGGAAAAAGCAGCTTGGCAGGTGCCAATATTTTGAGTAGTGCTTTTTCTAGAGGTGCAAAGCTGCAGCAGTTAGTGACGAAATGAGGCGTATTGAGCTAGTCTGAATGAGAGTGGATGGGGTCAGCCTGAGCACGCAAAAATCCCTGGAAAGTGTTCAACATTCAAAGTGATGGAAGCAGCCAGAGGGGTGGAGAGGGGTGTCTTGTGGGAGAAGATTTAACTCTGAATTTGTAATTGAGTCCCTGTGGGAAGGAAATGTGGCTGCTTCACTGGACTTGGGAGGGTTGGGTCATGCTGAGAGGAGCCTCTGAGCTGTAGGCGGGGGGGGGGGGGGGGGGGGGGGGGGGGGGGGGGGGGGGGGGGGGGGGGGGGAGCAGGAATATGTCCACATTCCACAACACAGCCCCTCGGGTCAGGGGATGCCCAGGTAAAGCACAGCCATTGGAGGCTGCCAGGTGAGAGCCTGGGCCCAAGGACAGCTCTGTCTGTCATTGCTAACACCAGGGGATATCTGAGCCCCCGGATTCCTCTGGCCAGAGGTCCCCAGGCTGTCACAGCTGCAGCACATGTTTGGGTGGCCTAATCCGTGCAGGAAATTGAGGCAGAGCAGGGGAGAGGAGGGAGATGGTCGGATGTGGAGAAGCCAGTGGCAGCCGCCGCCCCCTTTTCCTTTATCTCCGGAGTGAGGCTCACCTGGGTGAGAGGCACACACAGGCTTTGGCTATTTTTAGTGCTGTGTTCCCACAGTGCAGAGGAGTCAACTTCTGAGAAAATTGCCTGGAGCTCATTTAGCCATAGCATGATGGCTAGCGAGGGAGGGAGAGGGCAGATTAGAGGCTCAGTCTCATCTGCGGTGTAAGGCAGGGCCAAGGCTCCCAGGGACCGTTCTACTGTAAGGAGGCCAGCAGGGCTGACCCTGCTGGGGGACACCCTGTCCCTGCTTTGTCCCCTGGCCAGGTAGGGGGTCCTGGGGCCAAGTGCTGTCTTTGGCCGATGCTCGGGGGTCCTTGGCAGTGGCTGGAACAGCTGCTTCTCCTCTGCAGATTTTTGGATGCGTTGGGCGGGGAGGAGTCTCGAGTGCTCCTCCGGGCAGCCCCAGGAGAGCCATTTCCCTCCCCCCATCCACGACCCGGCTGCCGATTTACCGTTTCGGTCAGAAAAGCATCTTCCCGTTGCCTGGCAACGTTCGGCCGGCGGAGGCGGGGAACCCACGCGGGGCGCGGGGGCTCCACGAGGAGAAGGAGATGGTGATGAGGGTCCTGCGCCGGAGCAAACCGGGTGCCCGCGGCGACTTCGCCACCTGGCTCTGGGCACCTAGGCCGGGCCAGTGGAACGCGCTTGTGCGGGACCGGGTGTGCAGAGGCTCCGGGCGGGCGCAGGGAAGTGGCGGGCGCGCCCCGGGCAACGCCGGCTGCAGGAAGCATCGGCCTCCCCCCGCACCGCGCTTCAGCGCTTTATTGCAAGCATTTGTCTTCCATGGCAGCCTGTCTGCTTTAAAGCGGAGAGGAGAGACTCCCACTGTTACTGGGAGGAAAACAGAACTTAATTGAATGCCACAATCTCTTACAGTTACATCAGGCGAGAGACAGTCACATCAGTGGAGAGCAAACCCTCTGTGGTCTCCCTGGGCCCCTGTATCCTGGCACCCTGCAGTCTGTGCTCCTCCAGGGGACATGGAAACCCCCCGGGCTGGAGTCCCAGGGGTCTGCCGGGAGCAGAGATGACCTGCAGCTCCTTGTCAGCCCGAAGGCACTTGGTGCTTTGCTGAAAGCCTGTGCCATGGCAGCAGCCGCCAGGGTGTACCCAGGGCAGGCACAGTCAGCCCCAGTGCACACAGCTCCCTATGTTCTGCTTTTCCATTTGCACTTTGCTCTCCCAGTTTGAGGCTAGCAATCCAATCAGGACCTGGGCCCAGATCTTGCCTCTATAGGCAAGAGAAAGCAGCAAGCGGACAGAAAGCATCGCTTCGGACACACCCTCCCCATTAATTCAAGCCCCTGGAGCCAGCCCTGGCTCAGGCCTTCAGCCGGGGTGCGCATACAGAGCATGTGGAACTGTGCCAGGGGAGTGCAATAAGCATGTGGTTGCAAGGATAGATGAGGGTGAGGGCGAAGGCTGCTTTGCAGGGTGAGGGATCTCTTCTGCCTCTCCTCTCCCTCTTCTCTCACTTTCCAATGACCTGCTCCTCACTAGCTGCCTGCTGGAGTTTGAAATGCCGCCTTAAAAATGTTTGCACAGTTCCCAAAGCATCAAGTAGACCCAGGTGGGAAGGAAAAAAATGGCATAAACAAGTAGACAGGAGGATTTGTTAAATGCCAGCAGCAGCTGGCAAACACTTTAATATCAGTGCAGCTGGGCACCAATCAATACAGCATTTGGGGCCATGGCCAGTGCCGGGGGCGGGGGGGAGCCCACCGTGGCTGTGCTGCACAGGGATCCTGCTGCAGTGGAGGGCACCCAGCTGGACCTGGCATGGAGCAGGGCTGGGAGATGCTCTGGGTGCAGAGCTCTTCTTCTCTCCTTGCTTCCCACCCAGACTCCAAAGCCCCAGGTGAGAGGACATGTCTCCATCTCCATCCCCACAGCCCTTTGGGTCTGTCCTAACATCCTCTCTGTATCGGGGCCATTCGACTTGGTGGGCTGTG